GGTGTCTCTCTCCCAAATCTGAGGGCCCCAGAATTCACCGAGAGCCAGTGGGTCCCTGTCGAGGGGAAGCTCACGCAGCCCCTCATGTCTGAGAGAGCGAGGGGGCTAGTCGGCGATGCTGGCCCCCTGGCAGAGGAGAGAGGGATTCCCAGCTCTGACGGCTTACGGCTTTCACTGGGATGTCTTTATTCCCCTAGGGCTGAAGGGGAGCATGACAAATACAGTCCCCGGCAGGGTGAGGAGCCCCCAGCGTCCCGGTGCTATCGCTGCTGTGACCATAGTGCCCCCGTGTACCCCGCTGTCCCGGTGCCACAGATCAATATCACCATCCTGAAAGGTCAGTGTGCTACTGAGCCAGGGGCCTTCCCCCGGGCGTGGGGCGTCTCTGTCCAGATGGGGTTGAGGGGGACCAGGACGGCTCCCTCGGGCACAGAGCAGGGGCAGGCTGTCGTCAGAGGGCCGGGAGAGGAAATGCCGTTTCTGAGGCTCTTGGCCCCTTTCCAAGAGGAGAGATTGGCTCTCCCCCACCTGTGTCCACACAACAGGCTCTGGGCTCTGTTTTGAGGCTTGGCGCTCCCCTCCCTGCCCCCAGCCCTCCACCCCAGCCGCCCGCATGCCCAGGTCCTGCACACGGTGGGTAATTCTGCAAAATCACAGTGTTGGGAAGACACGTGGCCGGGTCCTGGGTCCCTGGGCTGCGCCAACATCTGCAGTCCATTTGCGCCATGAGCTGCGGCCTGGACTCAGCGCCTGTTGCCGTTGGACAAACCCATATGTTCCCTTTGCTTTGCCAGGACTTTCCAGAAGGAAAAAAATAACTGTTGCTTCTGGGTGAAAATAGAACCCCGAGGTCGGGTCTGCTTGCTTGACGCCGTGTGTTTTTCTGTCCCTTTCAGGGGAGAAGGGTGACCGGGGATATCGGGGCCTGCAAGGGAAATTCGGCAAAACCGGGGCGGCAGGTGCCCGGGGCCACATGGGTCCCAAAGGGCAGAAAGGCTCCATGGGGGCCCCGGGAGACCGTTGCAAGAACCACTACGCGGCCTTCTCCGTGGGCCGCAAGAAGCCGCTGCACAGCAACGACTACTACCAGACGGTGATCTTCGACACGGAGTTCGTGAACCTGTACGGCCACTTCAACATGTTCACCGGCAAGTTCTACTGCTACGTGCCCGGCATCTACTTCTTCAGCCTCAACGTGCACACCTGGAACCAGAAGGAGACGTACCTGCACGTGATGAGGAACGCGGAGGAGGTGGTGATCCTGTACGCCCAGGTCAGCGACCGCAGCATCATGCAGAGCCAGAGCCTCATGCTCGAGCTGCGGGACCAGGACGAGGTGTGGGTGCGTCTCTTCAAGGGCGAGCGTGAGAACGCCATCTTCAGCGACGAGTTCGACACCTACATCACCTTCAGCGGCTACCTGGTCAAGCACGCGGCCGAGCCCTAGCCGCCTGGCCTCCTGCCGCTCCGCCAGGCTGACTCCCCCGCTCGCGCTCGCCTGGACCCCACGGTCCAGCACCAGGTCCAGCACCAGGCCGACACCGTCAGCTCTCCCCTCGCTCTGGGTTACCCAGTCCCCACGCCCCCAGCTTTGGCATTCGACATGAGGCCCCTCGCAAGAATGGGAGGGAAAACAGCCGTGTGGTCCCAGGCCTTGCTGCCTCCAGAGATGAAATCACGGCGCAGATGCCTGAGAGTGGCCGGGACCTCCAGCTCCCCTCTGTGGACATATCCTTAAGTGACCTCCGCGCGGTCCCCTGCCACGTGGCACGGTGTCGGTGTCCCAGAGTAAGTCATCTTTTCTCTGTTGCTCAAAGTAATTATGCAAATTTTGAAAGCTGAGCCGAGCGCAGGAACCTCCGGGAGAGGAAGCCACTGCCTTCCCACAGCCGCCCTGGACCCCGGGGGAGGCCTGTTTCTCTCAAGGTTGCAGGAGATTCCTTTTAACAGGAGATTGATAGTGGACCACATCTGGCTCAATTCCTTCAGGCCACATACGAACCTTCTTGTGGACAGCCGAACTGATGTCACATCCTGTGGACATCTCTGTGGCCTTGTCTGAGGGTTCAGGGGTCTTTCTGAGCCACAATAGTGAGGGGGTTTGGGTTGGGGAAGCAAATGTCAGCTTCCAAAAGGACAGCCAAGCCCTGGGTCTTGGTCTCATGCTGGGAAAAGCAGCTCGCTCACTGTCACCCGCAGGCCCCTGGCAGCAGCTAGGGACTCTGGGCCCAGGACCTCCAGATGTTTCTGTGAGGAGCAAAGCTCAGGATCACCAGGGCAGAGCCGCACACCTCGTATGGCTCTGCTCCACTCCTCCCCCTCCCTCGAGCCCTGGGCAGGGCCTCTGTGCCCACCATCCTGGCATCACCTCTGCTCCTCCTCTCAGACACGTCACCCACGGGAGGCAGCAGGCCTTTGGTTCGGTAGCAGCCATCACGGTTAGACATTTCCTATAAACCCCATGGCACGCCGTCTCAGATTCGTGTTTCCAGAGGGTTCAGCATTCAGCCCCGGAGCCCTCCCCGAGGCCTCCAACCAGCAGCTGAACACTGCGTGGGAGCGAGAGGGAGCTGGGAGGGGCTGGAGGTCCCCCTCGGCCCATCTTGGGACTCGGTCCCTGGTGCCAGGAGAAAGGCTTGTCCCAACCATGCGGTCAGACCCCCTCTCTGAGGTGGGTGTGGGATGCCTGGGGTGGGCTGCTGCCGGGATTGGTGCTTTGGCCTGCAGCCTACATTGGCCCTGCAGCCCTTCCTGCTTCTGATTAATGCCCAGGGCCAGGGTCACTCTCCTACCTGCGTGGGCCCTTAAGTTCCTCCAGAAGGCTTCCCTCCCACCACCTGGGGACCCTTGGTCTTGACCAACGCCTCTGCCCTGGGCCTGGCCACAGGGTCCGGGTCCACACATCCGCCCTCTGAAGGAGTTCTGCTGGTCAGACGTTCAGCCTGGGCTCCCACGGGTATGCCACCCAGTAGGGTGCCCGCCGCCGCTTCCTGCCATCCTGACGCTCTTTCAGAAAACATTAAACTCAAAATCCTGCGTTTCAGCATCGTGGCTCCTGAGTCTGATCTTTGAACCTTCCTATCGTCACCTCCGAACCCTACCCACTGCCTGTGGGAAGCCTGAGGACCCTCAAATGGGTACCTGGGGACATTGGAACCCAGTGAGCACTGGCTGGGCCCTGACCCGCCTCTTTCCTTGGGGGAAATGTTTCCCAGGCTCCGCTGGACACGGCCAGGGGACGCCCTGTGGTTGGAGGTGCCTTCGAGTGGCCGGCAGGACTTGGACGACTGTTGTTGCCTGGGTTGCCACGACAACCAGCAGGCGCTTGAGAGCTTCAAACAACAGTGGCCAGTTCTCTCCCAGATCTGAGGCCAAGAGTCCAAAGCCAAGGTGTAGGCAGGACTACCCATCCCCCCGCCCCCAGGTCCGTAGGGAGGGTCCCTCCTTGCTGCTTCCAGGTCCCCGTGGCCCCAGGAGCTCTGTGACTTATGGCTGCATCACTCCAGGGTCTCCCTGTGTCTCTTACATCCCTTTCCCTTCTCTCTTCTAAGGATACCGGTCCCCAGATGAGGGGTCCGCCCTAATCCAGGATGGTCTCCTCTTGAATCCTTGTTTGTTACATCTGCAAAGACCTTATTTCCAAATGAGGTCACGTGCACAGGTGCAGGGGTAGGACTTGGCTGTGTCTTTGTGGGGGAGGACAGCACCGACCCACTGGCACGCCCTGCAGGCCCCCCCCAGCCCCCCCAGCCCTCTTGCTGCCTGAGTGGCCGAGAGCAGACTCTGCCTCTCCCCCGTGCCTGCCAGCTGGGTCCGTGGCCAGGCCCTGACCGGCTGCCAGCGGGCAGTTCAGAGGCAGGCGGACAGCAGGTGTCCTTCCTTCGCCGGGTCCTGGGTGAGCCGTGCAGGCGTTCAGCCTTGGGCCGAGGCCAGAACACCGGGGCAGACACTGCCATCCTGCTTCCTGCAGGACAAACAGCAGGTCCCGCCCCACGAAGCCGAGGCCGCTGGGCAGGGGACGTGTTCTCCACGCAGCCGGGAGTCGGGCCGAGCGTATTCCCCAAAGGTGCACGGAGAGGACTAGTCAGCTTCATCAGGGTCCCCCCCGCCAGCCCTCTCTCGAGGGACGGTCACAGGGAGCGTGTGGCCCCTGTCCCCCTGCTGGCCACACCAAAATAGGAGAGGGGACGGTATTTGCTCTGGGCCCCACGCACTGCCCCTTTGGATGTCCCTCGCTCAGCTCTCCCCACACCCCCTCCTCCCAGCCCCAGGTCCACTCCCTTCCCGCTGGCATTTTCTCTCCAAGTATCACCACACGCCCCTCTGCTGGGCACTGGGGGCTTGATAACAAATACAACATGGGACTGGCCTTGCCAGGGGACTTTTCTGGGACTTTAGCTGCAGGGTGACATGGATGTCATTCTTTTCAGGAGAACCACCTGCCCAACCCAGAGCCAACTGCGCCTTCCGACTGTACCCTAAGCAGCTTTCTTTCGCAGGACCCCAGCTGGGAAGGAACTGGCTGAGCATCCCTGGCAAAGGCCTGATAAACTCAGGTGCAGCGTACATATTAGTGTTTGAGCAGAGGACTTAGAAACGGTGGCTGAGTCAGCCGAAGGGAAGAACTGCTCATGTCAGGACTTTCAGGAGTTTGTGCAGCCAAGGGTGGGAGTGGCGAGCAGGGCACATCCAGTCCTCTTGGGTCATCGTGTGTGTGTGTGTGTGTGTGTGTGTTTGTGTTTGCGTGTGTTTAATTTCCTCTAGGGCTCACCATGGGAACACCACAGCATGACTGCACGTTCGTTTCACTGGGTCATAGTAATTGGGATAAAATGAGGCCTTCTTGTCCAGATCATGAAAAACACACACAGAGAAAGTTCCAGTGAATAATTAAAATGTGCAAAAGAGTGGAGTCGGACCCCTACCTCACACCACATACAAAAATCAAATCAAAGTGCATCATCGGCCTAAATATAAGAGCTGAAACTATAAAATTCGTAGGAAAAAGCCTCGGTGTAAATGACCATGACTTTGTATTACGCAACAGTTTCCACAAGTGCAGAAAAAGGCAACTCATATGAATAGGAGAAAATATTCGCAAATCTTAGATCTGATAAGGGATCGAACCTCGAACACATGAAGAACTTCACAACTCAAAAAGAGAGAGACGACCCAATTAAACATGCACAGTGCAGCTCAATGAACATTTCTCCAAAGGACAGACACCAACGACCAATCAGCACAGGAAAAGATGCTCAGCATCATGAGTCGCCGGGGAAATGCAAGTCAAAACCACAGCGAGATCCGACTTCACACCCCACGGGGTGGCTGCGATCAAAGGGCAAGTGCCGGGAGGACGTGGAGGAGCTGGGCTCTCGAGCGGCGCCGGTGGGCGCGTCCAAGGGGACGGCTGCTGCAGGACATAGCCTGGCTCGTCCTCAGAATGTCAGACAGAGCTACAGATGTCCCGGCAAGGACACTTCTAGGTATGGACCCCAGAGAAACAGGAACCCGTCCACACAAACACCCGGAGGTGAATGTTCATGGCACTGTTACTCCTAGTAAACAAAGGAGTGGAAACAACCCAGATGTCCGTCAGCTGACACGTAAACAAGTGTGGCCTCTGCCATCAGGGGAATGGTATCAGCAGCAGTGACCTACCGGCACCTGCTACCACCTGGATAAACCTCAGAAACGTGGCACCCCGTAAGAGGAGCTGGTCACGAAAGACCACGTGTTGTCCGAGTCCATTGACGTGCAATGTTCGCAACAGGCAAAGCCACAGCGACGGAAGTCGGCGAGAGGTTTCCAGGGCTTGG